ACGGAAGTACAACGAAAGAACTCCATCATAAAAACGACGTAAAATCGATGTAAAATTACATCGATTTAACAACGATTAGGAGACGAATAATTTTAATTAAGGGAAACTAAATTTTTAATTGTCGATGTTAAATCGTCGTAAAGTTTCGACGTAAATCCGACGTAAACTTATTCGACGTAAATTCGTCGTTAAATATTCGACGTTAGATCGACGTAAATTTACGACGAATTTACGTCGATTTATAAATTAATTATTTAATTCGATTTTAATTTAATTAATGAATTTTGAAAATAATAAAAAATAAAAAATAGAAAAAAACAATTTAAATTGAAATTTAAATTCAAAAATAATTTATAAATAAAAAAAAATTTATTACAAATTTTTTTTTACAAAAAAACCTAATCTAGAGTGATTTCGTAATCGTCGAGGTTGAGATCGACGTCACGAGGAGGCTCTCCGTCTTGGCCGCCTGTCGCTGCTGGGCCGTCGTTTCCCGTCTGCACTACCGGAGCCGAAGACAGACCGTCCGGGAAGAGTGTCCGTCCGCCATGAAATTGATGTAATGCGTCCTCCGTCGAGTCATCGTCTGCAAAACCGATAAAATTTTATTTTTCAAATTAATTATAATTAATTTTTAATTACGATCCTAAATCTAAGAAATTCCGATCCTAAATCTAACAAATTCCGAGTCTAAACTAATTCCCGACCTAAACCGTTTGAATTTCTAAACTATTTAATAATATTATAATTTAAAGTAATTAAAAAAAATAATTATCTTTTTTTGCGTCAAAAGGAGGAGGAATGCAAGGGAGGAGGAAGCAGAGAGAGAGGAAGGAGAGATGAGCGACGAAATGAGGAAGGGGTGAGGTCCTATATATAGAATTTATATTCGTCGTAAATTCGACGTAAACATTACGACGAATTTACGACGAATCCGTCGTAAATTCGTCGCAAAGGTCCCACCGTACAACAAAGCGAATAAGACAAACACACGTGGCTGTATCTGGGCTTTGCGACGAGTTTACGATGATCCGTGTTATTCGTCTTAAAATCGTCGTAACATTACGACGATTTTACGACGAATCGTATAAATCATAAAAATTAAGACAGCTGTGTATCCACAAATCGTCGTAAATTCGTCGTAATATTACGACGAATTAACGACGAATTATACCAAAACTGATGAAATTCAAAAATTGAAACATCCATAAGCACATACAAGCATGTCTATTCATGATAAATGTGGTCTGTATAACTTTCTAGCATGTTTACATAACTTAATGAAGAATTTAGTAAAATGTAAGATAAATCCATACATCTTGTGTAAATGTATATAACACCTTATGATTACTTGATAAACACATATATGTCAAATTTTGAATTTTTTTTTTTGTTTAGAAAGTTGTTTTACCTTATGAGATGGTAAGCCATTTCATTCTCTTCATCAAAATCTCCCCTGAACCCCATAAAAGATTGATTATAAGATTTAGGGGTTACATTTCGTCGTAATTTCGATGGTATATTACGACGGATTTACGACGATCACTCCCATTCGTCGTAAATTTGTCGTAATAAAAACCACATTTCTACAAGTTCCTGAACCTTATACTACAGACCCTTATATAATATATCAGTTTACTTAGGAAAATGAACCCAAAAATCATTCTGTAAGTTGGGAAAGCTAAACCCTATAGGGTTTAGAGTTTCCATTTTACGACGAATTTACGACGATTTCCAAATAATCATCGTAAATTCGTCGTAAAAGTCAACATATGTCCAAGTCAACATTTTAAGAAATTTTCATCAACATTTAATTAGTCTTCATTAATTGGCTTTAATTTTTCAAAAATTTAAATATGACAAATGTTACATTGAAACGTTCAAAGCATGCAATTAAATGTCAACATATTTAATTAGTCTTCATCAACATTTGTGTCTTTATATGTTTTTTTGGGTTGATGGAATAATGAGAGAAAAAAGGGTATATATAGAATTTTTTGTTTGGTTACCAACATATTACCATTGCATATTTACATCAAATTTACGTCGAAATAAAATTTACATCACATTTACATTGATTTTACGTCAATTACAATATAGAGGACAATTAGTCGTATTATCGATGTAAATATTACGACAATATTACGACGAAATAAAATTCGTTCTTCATTCGTCGTAATATCGTCGTAAGATTACGACGATTTTACGACGGTCATTTTTTACGTCGAATTTACGACGAAATTTATAGTCGTCGTAAATACGACGTAACGTCGTCGTAAATTTACGACGACTATAAATCGTCGTAAATATTTCGACGGAAAAGCCCCTCATTCTTGTAGTGGATCCAGCTTAAAACTATCGAAAGCACAAGAAGAGAGGAATGTCAATGAAAAAGATTATAGAAGAAACATTGGTTGTCTTCGATATCTTCTTCAGACATGACCTCTCCTATTGTGTTGGTGTTTTAAGCCGTTACATGCAGGAGCCAAAAGAGTCTCACGATGCAGCACTTAAGCAGATCTTAAGATATTTTCAGGGATTTGTGTCTCTCAGACTCAGGTTTAGTCTTGCTTAAGGAAGAGAACTTGTAGGCTATAGTGACAGTAGCCACAATGTCGACGCAGACGATGGAAATAGCACAGCAGAATATATCTTTTACCTCAATGATTGCCACATAACCTGGTGTTCACAAAAGCAAGAGACAGTAGCATTATCCTTATGCGAGGCCGAGTTCATGGCTGGAACAGAGGCAGCCAAACAAGCCATTTGGCTGCAAGAGTTGCTTGGAGAATTCATCGGGACAGAATGCGAAAAAGTGTTGGTTCGTATTGACAATAAATCAGCTATTGCACTTACTAAGAATTCTGTCTTCCATGGCGCATCAAACACATACACAGAAGATATCATTTCATAAGAGAGTTCGTCGAAAATGAACAAATACTTGTGGAACATATTCTCGGAACAGAGCAGAAGGCAGATATCCTGACTAAAGCTTTAGAAATGATCAAATTCAAAGAGATGAGAGATCTCATAGGAGTTCAAGAAGTTTCAAAAAGTGACTTCAAACTTAAGAGGGAGAATGTTGGATTAAGCTTGAAGAAAGCTTGAGCAGCAAGCTTCCTAGATCAATTAGGAGTTATCTAAATATATTTAGGAATTATCTAAATATATTTAGAAAATATCTAAAGAACAAAAAATTTGTATTTTTAATTGGTTTAGGATTTAGGAAATAATTCTCTATATATATGAAGTTATCAGTGTGGTAGACTCATGAGATTTTAGAAAGAATTTTGAAAGCTTTAAGTTTTGAGTTATTTTTTTAAAACAATAAAGATGTTTTCTTAATCTCAAGTGTTAAAGTTTAAAAACATGGAGAAAGCCTAGTCTGTAGGCATCCATCATAAAAACAAACAAACAACAAAAATCGTTGTTCTTGATCACTTGCTAGCTTGGGTTTAAATTTGCCCATGGAAGCTGTCTCCACGACATGGAATCTAGCTAACGTGTTGTGCAAGGCAAAGATCAGCAAAGATTTATTCAGCAACTCATCATTCCTAAAATCTGCAAAGACATGATTAATACGAGCCAACGCCTTGAAGAAGAAGACAATGAAGGTTTCTTTGTTGAAGTTGCTAAAGAAACATGGCGGAGTAATAAATGGTTAAGCCTCAATATTAATGACTCTGAAGGTCGTCTAATACAAACCGAACAAGACTGCATAATTTGTTTAGAAAGATTCAGCATTAGATGGTCAGAGGAAGATGCATGAATTTGCGTTGTTTCCACCATTTTCATAGGGATTGTAATCTCCTATGGCTCCAATGTAAGGACATCTAGAATCTGTCTTTCGAAAAAAAAAAACCAAGGCCATGAATGTTTACATGGTTTTTAGTTTTTGGTTTCTGGCTTTTCACTTTTGGTTTTTAATATTTGGATTTTGGATTCTAAAATTTTGGTTTTTGATTTTGCTGTAGATTTTTGTTTTCTAAAACCTTGAATGGTATAATTTGTTTAGTTTCTGGTTTTTTTATCAAAATTTTTTTTAAAAATCATTTCTATGCTTTTTAATTTTTAGTTTACTTTTATGTGTTAAAAAATTAAACAAATTATAAAAATAAAATTGAATTTTAAAAATCATATATTTTTATAAAAAATAATAACTGATAAAATTTTATAATTAATAATAAAAATTATAGATTTTTTCTACAATAGAAAATGATAGATAAAAATGCACATAGATAAAATGAGGTTATTGTAGAAATAATGTTTTGTTTCGCTTCTATGTTTTTTAATTTAAAAACTTTGATTTTGTTTTGCTTTTATATTTTATTAATTGAGAAAAATAGCATTATTTAAAAAAAATAAAGAAAACAACAACAATTTATTGTGGAAAAACTCATAAATGGTGGTTTTTGGTTTTTGTTTAGATAATACAAAAACTTTGAAAAACTAGTTTCCCTAAAATTTAGGAAATCCATTTTTGCAAAAACCTGAATGGTTAATAAAATGGTTTTTTGAAAAACAAAAACCAAAATCTATTCCAAAAATAAATAATGGTTTTTCTCTTTGATCTGTCTTTCAAGGAAATTTATTGGACCATATTATATTGTATTGGACCTTGTGTGATGTATATATACCCTGTGTATGAGTTGAATATCTAATAAGAAAGCATATTCTATCTCTTTTACAAAAATTACTCATAAGAAGATTTTTGAATTTATTTTGAAACCTTTTTTTGTTACTTTGATTTGTACCATCTATATGACTTTGGATACTTTGTTATAGCATGAACTTAAAATAAGAACTTCGTCACGTTGTTCTACTTTCTCCTCTTCTACACAATCACATTCTATATCGTAGTTAGGTACAACTAAAATTGGATCCACTCGTTAAAAGCTTGTTTCTGAGCTTTTCATATTCTTGGGCTTTTTGGTTTATCAGGATTTGCAGGTTAGTTTCTCAAAGCTCCTAAAAGAGAATCGTTAAACAGTGTGATAAACAAACTCTCTATTTTCTTCAAAACAAGTTATAACTTTCTTCTCCAGATTTACATTCCCAAATATTTTTTGTGTGGAATTGTCACTTTCTTTTGATTACACTGTTACAAAGAAAATGTAGAAGATGATGAAGATGAAGAAGAAGACATGGTGGATGGTGATGGTGACCAAGAAGTCATATCCATAGGATAACTCCCCAAGACACGTAAGAACGAAGTAAACTCCTGAACCTCAGCGAGCGCGTTCTGCGCACGCGCCTCCGCCATCGAGGCCTCGAAATCAATATAGAACATATACTCAAAATGCTTCGCCGTCCCAACGTTGGCCTCGTCGACGAGCCTGATCGGTACATTGTGATTCGGCCTCGACTCAATCTTCGTCAAGCTAATGTTCCTAAACGCGAAAGCCGAGAGCACCTTGAACAGTACGCACGTGCCTTTCTCGTGCGCGAACACGATGCTCGTCTTGAACGGCCGGTCCGTCCTCGGTATAATCGGCTCACGCGCCAGCATCACGAAGCGCGTGACGTTACTCGCGTCGTCCTGGATCCCATCCTCGAGGATCTCGAGCCCGTAGATCTCAGCGGCGCGTGCGCTCGCAATCGCGGCTGTATCGCGGATGTTGTTGGCCGCGATGAACTCGGCGGCTCCGGCCGTGTCGTCGACGGCTTCACGCGCCACGTTGAGACCGAGTCTCGTGAGCGTGTGCTCGCACTGAGCGAGTCCCTGAGGGTGAGAGATGACGCGCGTGAGGAACTCTTTTCTCACGCCGGGAAGAGCCATGAGACAGTGGTGAACAGGGAGCTGAACCTCGCCGACGATGTGGAGACGGTGACGGAGGAGAAGATCGTAATTCCGATGAATCGAGCCACCGAGAGAGTTTTCAACAGGTAAAACCGCGCGATCCGCGATCCAGAGCTCAACCGCTTGAAACGCGACTTCGAATTGATCGCAAGGAATCGCTTGGCAGTTAGGGTAAGCTTTACCGGCGGCGGCTTCTGAATAAGCTCCGGGAACGCCTTGGTACGCGACTCGGAGATTAGATCCGTGCATCGGAGCGGGAGATAGATCGGTAATGGAAAGAGGTTTCTTCTTCGATTGATGATTTTGAACCAGCGATTTGTTGTCGTCGTCATCGAATGGTACTAGATTCAATCCAGAGATCTCGGCGCAGCCGTTGACGGCGGAGACTGGAGATTCGGATTGTTCCTGAGAAACGACTTTGCTAGAGAGAATGGCGCAAGAGCTTTTCCAATCTGAGCTACTGGAATTAATGGCGTAAGAGTCGGATCTCTTAACGCAATGTATGAAGCGTCTCCGTGAGGATGTTGTCGTCGCCGTCGTCGGAGAATGGGAAGATCGGAGCATTGGATTGAGATTGTGAGGAGAAGAAGGAAGAAGAGTTCTCATGTTTGTTTGAATTTGCAGGTAGAAATGAAATCGAGAATGTGAATGAGAAATTGAGTGTTTAAAGGAAGAAGACGAAGTTGAGAGTTATAGGAGAAGAGAAGAAGAGCGTGGACTGATCTCCTGCCTCTCACGATCCTTAACCTACCACCATATACTTTGTCTTTTTTCCTTTCTTCATTTGGGTATAACTAAAGATGATGGTGGGCCATGAGGATAAAGCCCAAAGATGTTTTTCAATATAAATTTTTAAGTGAAGACTTCTCTATTTAAATGAATTTTGTTAGGTTGGAGTTAAAAAACAATAAAATAAAAAAGTTTATGTGACATTTTGATTTCTGATTATGTACAAAATACTTATAAGAATTGATTTGACTATTTATGTCATTAAAGTGCACTTATCTTTTCCGATCAAGTGTTTGGAGAGAACTCTAGAGTTAAACGTGCTTATGCTGGAGCAATCTCAGGATGGATGATCTATCAGAAAGTCGTCTATGGTACCATGCGAGTGAAGACAAAGCACGGAAAAAGATCATGTGGTGATTGTAGGGACAGTAGACAACTTTTATGAGTCTCTCGAACCAAACGACTCTCGACCGTCGGACAAGAGTGGGTCATGGGCCTAAAAAAAGGCCAACCGTCGGACAATGGTGGGCCAGCAGGCCTAAGAGAGAAGATGTTGGGCTCATTGGTAGAGGCGGTTGGTGGACCAACGGGCTTAAAGAGAGAGGACGTTAGACCCCATAGTATATGACATTGGACTCACTAGTAGAGGCGGTTGGATGCGTTCAGAGTTGATAACCAATCCAGATAAAAAACGATTTTGGAATCTCATGGATTTGATGGCCAATCCATCTGGTTCCCGTTTAAAGAAAAAAAGAACAGAATCTTACAGTTTAAATCTCCTCTCTACCAGAATTTTTGTTAGACTGTCCATTTTGGGATGGAAACATGGAATTATCATTTCTGTTTTTATTTTGGCAACGATCTATATTTTTAAATCAAGTTTTTGGCTAGTAAGAAAACAGTTATACATGGAATCATCTCTACTATTTCTGTTTGACTTATATGCGAAAGTGAAAAATCTTGTGTTTGAGTTTTTTTTTTACAGAATCAGCGATGAATTGATCCATTATCTGTTTAGATCAGTTTAGTTTATTCTTACGTGTATGAACACAAATTGGATATGAGAGAAGTTATCTCCGTTGAGTACTTAAAGTTGTGAAAATTATCAAAAAAATTACTCAGAAATACAATAACATTTTCCTAAATCTTCTCAAATAATAATCAAAAAGATTTTTTTTTTGTTTCCTAGACATTTAATTGAACAGTGAAAGTTTAAATTGTGATTTTAGTTACCTATAACCCGAATTCGATCCGTTATCCAGCAATTTCTTGTTGTCTCGAACTTGATTAAGTATGACAGTATGTTTCAGATAATATTTTTAAATAATAAATCATTTGGTTCTTTTCTTTTCAAAATGAACACTTTGAAAATTTGTTATTCTAATAGTTATATCTAGTACGTGCATAAGCTATAGACCATAAAAGAAAAACAAAAATTTATCTCATGTCATTGTCCAATTCAAAATTTAAATGGTCTTCTGTCCATTTATGCTTCATATAAAAGTCGTTAGGGAAGAATAAATTATAAAGCCATATACTTTTGTTTTGTAGTATAAGTACCAAACCCTTCCAAATGATTGGATATTTTTTTTTAATAACATTTGAAACCAACTCTTCAAAGTCCAAACCACAATACATAAACTCTCACCTACCAATTTCGGCTCAAATTTATTCATTAAAATTTCTCTTAACTTTAAATGAAACGTTAAACGTGCCATAACCTACCTGAAACAAAAGAGATTGGCAAATTGACAAAGATTACAAAGAGGAAGACAAAGGAAATGAGAATTTGAATCCTTTAAAAAAAAAAAAGAAATGAGAATTTCTCAGCTGACCACCAGAAACGGTAGCTCATAGTCTTTCTTTTACAGTCTCACTGTCAGACCAAACATAAACTCTATGATGGATACCATTGCAAGACTTTATTTTGATAAAGGATTAAATTTCTTTATTTAATAAAAAAAGAGAACAAATGATTATATGTTTTTTTTTAGATTCTCTTCTTCAGCCAAGACATTTATCAGAGACAAAATCTTTACATCTTGGAGCCAATCAAGAAATATATATAGTTTTGGTTTGAACTGCATAACCAGATTAGAGATTTTGTCTATCATTAACCTTCACATACAGTGTGGTTATTTTATTATGTCAATCCATTAGATAATATCTAGTACACAATGCTAAGTTGCCGATTTAAATTTCTTTCGCATGTCAGTACAAGTTTTTTTTTTGCTTATCAAGGCAATAAAAAGGATACTAACAGTTTCGACAAAAAAAAAGGATACTAACAGAGTTTTATCACATAATTTTTTTAAAATAGCATATGTAGTAAATGTCCCGCAAAATCAAGCTAAGAACTATGATGTGTTAACACTGGAGGGGAAAAATATGTAGCCATGTGGTCCCTCAGTCACCATGTTCATCGATGGCAGTGTGTTCAATCACATAGTATGAATGCATAAAAGGCAAGTTTCATGGTCCATCATCGCAACTTGGCAATTGGATCAAACAAACAGTATGATTTATTCTTATATTTCACCATTTAATGTATTGTTGTTTCCAAGTGATAATATACTATTAATTGTGCTATGGAATCCTGCTTGCAACAACAATACCCTGCAAACACAAAAGTTTCGAGACTCTTCAAGAAACATTGAGGGACAAAATTAAGAAACCTCAAGGAAAATTAAGTTTATCTCGGGATTCTTCTAGAATGTTCGCGGCTTAAACAAAACATCTAAGCATTCCGTGTTGAAGAATTGTGTTAATGAAAGGTTGTTTCAGTTTGGGTGTGTTCTAGAAACGAGGGTAAAGGAAGGTAATATGCAGCGAGTTATAGATTCTGTTTTTCAGGGCTGGTTGGTGCTCACAAACTATGAGCATCATCGTTTGGGTCGTATATGGGTTGTTTGGAGGGAGAATGTTAGAATTACTCCGCTGTTTAAGAGTAGTCAAATCATTACTTGTTCCGTCAAAATGGATAGCGTGGAGGAGGAACTCTTCTGTTCCTTCGTGTACGTTTCAAATTTTGCTAAGGAGCGAAAGGAGCTTTGGAGGGATATGAGGGACCACAAAGATGCTCATTTGTTTCACAACAAACCGTGGATTATTTTTACGATTTTTAACGAAATTCTAGAGGGAGAAGAGCACTCAGAATTTTAAAACATACCGAGTTTCACGGCAGGGATGAAAGATTTCCAGGACCTGGCAAGATATTGCTCGCTCTTGGACATGCCTTTTCATGGCTCTTTGTATACTTGGTGCAATAAGAGGGATCATGGCACAATTCATAAAAAACTAGACAGAGTCCTCATCAATGACATTTGACTTCAATCTTTTCCACATATGTACTCTGTTTTTGAAGCGGGGGGAATTTCTGACCATCTTTGATGCAGAATTCAGTTCAGTGAGATAACACAAAGGCCGCACAAACCTTTAAAGTTTGTCAATGCAGTGGCTAATCTTGAGAGATTTAAGCCGATGGTGGCAGATTACTGGAGTGGCACTGAACAAATCTTCTTATCCACTTCATCAATGTATAGGTTCTCAAAGAAACTTAAAGGTTTAAAACAAGGTATTCAGACTCTAGCAAAATAAAAATAGGGGATCTAGTTAAGAGAGCAAGGGAAGCTTATGGCGATCTATGTGCCAAGCAGGAGGTGAATTCAGCAAACCCCTCGCAGCAAGCAATGGCAGGGGAGATTGCTGCATATAAGCGATGGGATATTGTTTTAGGTCTGGAGGAGAGTTTTCTGAAGCACAAATCAAAGCTGCATTGGCTCGATATTGGAGATGGTAACAATAAGGTCTTCCACAGAGCAGCAACCATTCGGGCAGCAAGAAACTCTATTCGGGAAATACCTTGCCCAAATGGGACTGTGGTCGCAACTAGAGATGAAATCAAGACAGAGGCAGAACATTTCTTTCGGGAATTTCTGCAACATAAGCCGGCTGATTATGATGGTCTCACTATTTCAGAACTTCAGGACTTCTTGCCTTTTCGATGTTCAGAGGAAGATGGTGGATGGCTAATTCGAGATGTTTCATATGAGGAAATAACAGAGGTTGTCTTCTCAATGCCAAATGGGAAATCCCCTGGACCAGATGGGTATACTTCTGAATTCTATAAATCGGCCTGGCCGATTATTGGGAAAGAATTCATTACTGCAATCAAATCTTTCTTCGTGAAGGGATTTTTGCCTAAGGGAGTGAATACAACAATATTGGCTTTGATTCCAAAGAAAACAGAGGCAAGGGAGATGAAGGAGTATAGGCCGATATATTGCTGCAATGTCATATATAAAACAATTTCCAAGATCATCGCCAACAGATTGAAAGAGATTATTCCGCAATTCATTGCTGCGAACCAATCTGCTTTCATAAAAGACAAGCTCCTCATAGAAAACTTGCTACTTGCTATGGAATTAGTTAAAGCTACCACAAGGATTCTGTCTCTGCTCGTTATGCCATTCAGATTGATATCTCGAAGGCTTTTGACTCTCTGCAGTGGTCTTTTTTGCTGAATACTCTAGCTGCTCTGAACTTCCTAGGGAAATTTATCCATTGGATTTCATTGTGCATCACAACTGCTTCTTTTTTTGTTCAAGTACATGGTGAGCTAGCAGGATTTTTCAGAAGTGAAAGGGGATTGCAGCAGGGATGTTCTCTATACCCCTATTTGTTCGTTATCTGTATGGATGTTTTGTCGAAACTTCTAGATAGAGCCGCGACAAGGAGACAGGTGGGATACCACCCGAGATGTAAAAATCTTGGCCTTACACATCTGAGCTTCGCAGACAACTTAATGGTTCTTACGGATGGGAAGGTTAGATCAATGGATGGAATTGTCAAAGTTTTCGAAGATTTTGCCAAGTATTCGGGTTTGAAGATTAGTATGGAAAAATTGACAATGTTCTTAGCTGGTGGTACAGAAAACACTTGACAAGCAATAGAGAATTGGTTCCAATTTGCGATGGGCCTTTTCCATGTAAGGTATTTGGGTTTGCCATTAACCACGAAATGCATGACAAGGACTGATTACCAGCCTTTGGTGGAGAAAATAAAAATCGCATTAGCTCGTGGACAGCAGCACGTTCTTGATCTATCTTATGCTGGCCGTTTGCAACTCATCAGTTCTGTTCTTTGGAGCGTTTCTAACTTCTGGTTCTCTGCTTTTCGGTTACCTCGAGAATGCATCCGCGAGATTGAACGTTTATGTGCGGCGTTTCTTTGGTCGGGTCCTGCTCTGAGCTCAAAGAAAGCTAAGCTCCCTTGGGATGATGTGTGCCGCCCACGCAATGAAGGAGGTCTGGGGCTCCGACCCCTGAAGGAAATAAACGATGTGAGTTGTTTCAAGTTGATCTGGAGCATTGCCTCGAACAGGCCTTCTCTGTGGGTGGAATGGGTTAATTTGAACCTATTAAAGGGTGACTCTTTTTGGTCGATTGAAGAGAAACCAAACTCAGGATCTTGGATATGGCAAAAACTACTGAAATTTCGAGAAAGAGCAAGAGTGTTATACAGAGTGGACATCCGGAATGGTCGATCAACTTTTTTTTGGTTCGATAATTGGTCACAGTTAGAGCGGCTCATCGATATCACAGGGCGACGTGGAGTCATTAATATGGGAATCCCCCTCCAAGCTAAGGTTGAGACAACTTGTCTAAGTTGTCGCAGACGCAGGCATAGGGTGGAGCAACTTAACGCAATTGAGGAAGTGATTGCAGATGGCGGACTAAAAGGAACTCAAATGAAGAAGACATAAGCTTATGGAGAAGAAAAGGGGATCTTTTTAAACCCGCTTACAGCTCGAAGAATACATGGCTCCTTACTCGCCAAACATATGCTTTCGTCGATTGGGCCAAGGGATATGGTTCAAGTACGCTACGCCTAAATATGCCTTCTTTGCTTGGTTAGCTATGCACAACTGTCTAACCACGGAGGATCGTATGATTGTTTAGAATCCATGTATTAACCCTGCCTGCGAATTCTGTCAATATCAGATGGAGACGAGAGATCACTTGTTCTTCGCATGTCCCTATTCAGCAGAAGTGTGGGCTGGACTCTCAAGGGGCTTACTAGGAGCACGGTTCGTTACTGATTAGCAAAGCATTGCCACCATCATTTCGGACTCAAGACTTGATCTTTTCACAGGCTTCCTGATTCGGTATGTATTTCAGAACGTGATCCATAGTCTATGGAGGAAGAGAAACTCAAGACGCCACAGCGACAGGCCACGAACCCCAACTCTTCTAATTAAGCTCATTGACAAACAGGTTCGGAATCATCTATCTACCATTCGAGCCTCAGGTGATCAAAAATTCGAAGGCGGTCTTCGAGCTTGGTTTGCATCTAGATCATAGATCTTATGTAATTTTTTCATTTCTAAACATTCTTTATAGCCTTCAAAAGTAGGACACACTCAGATGTAAAACGGTCTTTTTTGGTTTTGAATCAATTTTACATTCAATTAAAAAAAACATTTAGGGACAAAGCTTTCTTCATTGTTAATCCAGCGAACTAGTATATCAACATCAAATTGTGGATACATCTAACATAAAAAAAAAGGAAAGAAATGAGAGAGTTAATTACATTTCATCGCACAGTGCTTTTTAGATCGAATGAAGAAAACTTACAGCGACGTAGAGATTGAGGACTCGCAGTTTAAACCAAAAGGATAACCTCTTCAAGGATAGGATCATAACAACCAAAGCTCTCATATTGTCATCCTAGCTCAACTCGTCTAATAATCAGATCTTCAAGAACAGGCAATGAGTATTGTTGTTTCCAAGTGATAATATATTATTAAGTATGGTATGCGAATAGAAAAATGTAATGAGCCAAAAGTTTCATGTCAGTGTGTTTCACGAGTGATGTTTTATTGTATTTCACCTTTTTTTTGTTTTTTCTATATTTTTCAAGAGTTGTAAATGTTAAATTATAAATTCATATATACGCAGGTCCTAATATACTGTATGTATAATTTTACAATGATTATAACTTGGATCAGTGGATGTGACAAGGTAAAACAAAGGAATGCTTCATGTTATGATACTTTAGGGTTTAGAAATAAAAAATCACCTTCAATAATTTTAAGATAAAATGAGAAGTTTCAAGAACATATCAACAAGACACAAAAATCAGATTTAAAATATATACAATTTAAAAAAAACAAAAAGAAGCAAACATTCTGCTTTGTCAAAGAATATTTGTGATCAATCTATTTGTACTATAATTAGACTACTAGTTCCGATTCATTGTAGTCTAAATGAAAAGATATTGTAACGATGGGAGATTATTCATAAAGATTTGCAGTGAAAACCTCTGTGGTTAGAGAGGTGCCTTTTTCTCAACTGAATGTAATTTTTTTTTTATAAAAGAAGTTGCAAGCTCAGTAACTCACGACATTCAGATAAAAACCCAATTCTTAGACAATAAAACAAAACCTAAAAATTCAGAATCAAATGCGACAACTTCTTGATCAAGTTCCAAGTTTCTATTGTGGAACGTACATATATCATGATCATCTAAAGATTGATGAATACTTCAAACAACAAGCATATTGGAAGAAAAAACTGAAGAAATCTCTCTCTTCTTCTCTTCTTTCGTACCCTGAAAACCTAAAAGTTTCAAGACTCTTCAACAAACATTCAGGAACAGAGCTCTGCTCATTATTCCAAATAACCGTTTGATACTCGTCATATCGTCCATACTTCTGAGATATATATAAGAGAAAAAAAAGAGTGTGTTAATAACATTAAACCCCATACAATGCTTTTAAATCGGACAAATTCAACAAAGAACCTTACATCGACGTCGAGATTGAGGACTCGCAGTTCAGGAGAAACTTTGAGCAACCGAACAAGTAACTTCGACCAGTAATTATTGCTAATATGTAGTGTCAGATGTTCAAGCTGATTGAAGACAACAACAGGAAGATACACAGGCCGCAACACACGTAGTGTAAGACTTTTGACAGATGTCATTGATTCGAGAAACTTGTCGATATCTTGCCAAACACATATATCTGCCTCTTCACGATTCGGCATATGCTCAATCAAATAGGAGACATTCTCTCTATAATCTTCAACTTGGAAATACTTCAAAGAAGGGGTAACTATCACATTCCTATCAGAAGAAGAACATGTCTTACCTTTATACAAGGAAGACCTCTTCAAGGATGGGACATTAACCACTAACGCTCCCATATTGTCACCCGCAATTCCGCTAATAGTCAGATCTTCAAGAGCCGGGCAATGAGATAGAAGCATGCGAAGAGAGTCTTCGTTTGAGTATATCACACGTTGGAGTTTGCAAGTTTTCAAGCAAGGCAGAAGAACCATTTGAGGAACATTCACAAGAATATTGCCGTCAAGTTCTAAAGTCACCAGTGATTTGCATGTATACAAGCTACTAGGCAGAAATACAGCATTATAAAACACTGAACGGTAGATACTTAGCTCACGAACGCATCGAGAAACCGCGATACCAACCCATTGTTTAATATCCTCAGGTTCAGTTGATTCACAGTTACACTTGAGGTGCAAGCTTTCTATGACTGGAGCTCTATGTAATGGAAGATACTTGCTAATAAAATCCCTAAGCATTATAGGGTTTGAATAATCATTAGTGAACTTGAGTTTAGGCAACCACATCCAAATAAACTGCCATTGTTTTGACAAAACGCTAGTAGATACAGCAACTTTTGTTGGAAGAAACGATAATATCTTAATCAGCAAGTCATCAGGAAACTCACTTATTTTGGCCATGATTTTATACAAACTCTAAGATTATTGTTACCCTGAAAAAGAAAAACACAAGAAAACTGTAAGAATTATTTGGGGTCACACATGTATAATCAATGTGTTAGGGTTATTATTTAAAGTAGTCAAAACTTATGTGGTCATTTTGATATTAAAGAAAAGACTAATGGGGCATAAGTGTTATGAAAAATTAATGTGAGGATACACTCAGTAATTTATAATTTGATGACGGGCCGAATTAGAAATTATTCTCTATATAAATAGAGAGGTTATGGTCCCCGCAGCAACCCTAACGAGAAATACAGAAAACTCTCTGCATCCCATCAACAGAGATCTACAGCCATTCAGGGTTTGTTGTGGAAGAACCATAGCCAAATTCAGAGCATAAATCATGGATCCAAAAGGTACGCTTCCGCTTCCGTTCTTATTAATCAGAGACTGACATGCTATAGTGGTTTATAAGGATTTAAAACCTTTCAATTGGTATCAGAGCCATCATGTTCAGTTTCTGTTTGATAATCAGGTTATTTTAAGAAATAAATTCGGATTTATTTTTACGAAAAAATTTAGATTGTTGAATCTGTTTTTTCTCAAAAGTTTATGCCTAGATTAGAATTATGGGATCTGTGTTTATGTAATTGTTTTTCAGATCTAGATTATTGCTCATATGGTTTGTTTTTTCTGAAAATTTTAATATATTTTCGGAATTTGGGGAGCAATTATAAGATTTAGTCTTTAAAATTTTTAAAAGTTTCATGCTCATAAAGTTTTTTTCGAAACTCAGGAATTTTTTTTCGAAAATTTTGAGCAAATTTTCAGATCTGGTTTCGTAATTCTTTAAAAGTTTGTTAATGAAACTCTGCACTTCATATGGTTAAATCGGACTGGGCCTGGGCCCAATTTTGATTGAAGTTGCATTTAAGCCAAGTTTCATTAAAGCCCGAATTTGGTTATATTCCACTAAAGCCCAATTCGTTTTAATTAAAATGAAAACACATCACCAGAAATTCGAACCCAGGTTGCACTAATATGGGGAATCCCTTCCTTTTTGTCTTCAACCGTTTTATCACTGTAATATTCTTGCATATAGAACCCCCAGATTTTATGTTATATGTCCGCGCAAGTATATAATTAAGTTTTTTTTAATCAATAAATATTTTTGATTGTGCAAGTTTAATATTTGAAGTGGATTAATTGATGCAAATATGTTGCCAAAGTAACCTCTATTGTGGATATTTTTCCATGGATAATATTAAATATTATGTGTGTATATATATTCATGCGAATATTAAATCGACCCAAATGTAGGTTTTGTATTCGGCCGAATAACATACATACCTGTGATAATAAACACGTGATAATTATTAGGAATAAACATGTGAATGATAAATCGATCCAAAGATAGGTTTATTATTTATCATGCATTATTGTCAGTGTTTGATTGTTTCAACAAGAGTATCACTAGCAGTTAATATTACTGTCCAAAGACTTGATATTAATGTTGCACTTGATATCTTGAGATGGGTTATACAATTGTTTATTTTTGTTTATTGATTTAATTCGGTTTAGCAGTAAATTACTAATAAAGATTGTTCAATTTTGCAGCGAATTTTACTGCAGTATCTGCAAACTTAAGTTCAATTCCAACACTTACTGGTTCCAACTATAAGGAATGGAAGAGTAAAGTTAAGATTGTTTTAGGGTGTATGGATCTTGACCTTGCGTTAAGGATGGAACAACCTGCTTCTCCTACAGATACCAGCACTGCTGAGTATAAGGCAGTTCATGAGAAGTGGGAACGTTCTAATCGCATTGGTTTAATGATCATTTTGGACACCATTCCAGAAACCTTTAGAGGTAATGAGGAGATCTCTGATCTCAAACAGTTCCTTGCTGAGATGGACTTGCGTTTTGCGAGTAGCGATAAGGCAGAAATAAGTTCGCTACTGTATCGCTTTAGTACCATGAGGTATCACAGCAAAGGAAACATAAGGGAGTACATTTTGGAAATGTCCAACATTGTTTCAAAACTCAAGACTCTCAAGATTGAGCTTCCGGAAGAAGTGCTCATACATTTTGTCTTGAACTCCCTTCCTCCTCAATTCAATCAGTTGAAATCCAGTTACAACACACGTAAGGAGAAATGGGCTCTTAATGAGCTTATTTCTTATTGTGTGAATGAGGAGGATAGGATGAAACAAGAAAGGTCTGAAAGTGCTCATATGGTTAACACCTCTAAGGGCCAGGGCAAAAGAAGGAAAATTGAGGTTGTTAAGAATGATGCTGCTAAGGGTCCATCTCAAAAGAAGCAGACTAAGGATGAAGATACCTGCTTCTTTTGTAAGAAAACTGGACACATGAAGAAGGACTGCCAAAAGTATCATGCTTGGCGTGGTAAGAAAGGTATGTCCCTTGCTATGGTCTGTTCTGAGGTGAACTTAATTGAAGTACCCAGAAACATTTGGTGGTTAGACTCAGGTGCAACTACTAACATCAGTGTTTCATTACAGAGTTGCCTGAGCTACCGAGAACCAACTGAAGCTGAAAGACGCATTCATGTGGCTGATGGTTTTGCGGTGGATGTGGAGGCAATTGGGCATTTTAGATTGTTTTTCAGTACTGGTCAATTTTTGGATTTGAAAGACACTTTTGTTGTACCGTCTTTTAGACGGAATTTGGTTTCCGGTTCTTATTTAGACATATCTGGTTATTCTTGTCTGACTGAGCATGGAAAAGCTACTTTGTCTTTAAATTCAATTTTAATTGGAACTGGTACACTTATGAAAAATCACGGTCTTTATATGCTTGACGCTTTAACTTCTCATGATGAAAGTTTAAGTGTTGAATCAAGGGGTACTAAACGAAAGTTTGAAAATGCAAGTTCAGGAACTCTATGGCACAAACGCTTAGGTCACATTTCTAGAAATAGAATTGAGCGACTTGTGTCAGATGGTATATTGAGTTCTATTGACTTCACAAATTGTGATGTCTGTGTGGATTGCATTAAAGGAAAACAGACTAAACAGAAGAAATTAGGTGCATATAGAGCTACGGAAGTCCTTGAGTTGATACATACAGACATTTGTGGACCATTCCCTACGGCTTCTTGGAACGGTCAACAATACTTTATATCATTCATTGATGATTATTCTCGATATGCATACTTATTTCTTATTCATGAAAAGTCAGAGTCTATAGACGTGTTCAAGAAGTTTAAGGCTGAAGTTGAGAACCAACTTGAGCGAAGGATAAAGTCTGTCAGATCTGATCGTGGTGGTGAATATTACGGTCGGTATGACGGTTCAGGTGAACAACGTCCAGGACCATTTGCTAGATACCTAGAGGAGTGTGGAATTGTTCCTCAGTACACTATGCCTGGGTCTCCCAGTATGAATGGTGTATCTGAGAGACGCAATAGCACTCTTAAAGACATGATAAGGAGTATGATTTTTCATTCCACCTTGCCTGAATCACTCTGGGGAGAGGCACTAAAGACTGCAGCTTACATTCTTAATAGAGTACCAACTAAAACAACTGCAAAGACACCTTATGAGCTTTGGACTGGTAGAAAACCTAGTCTGAAGCATTTGCACATTTGGGGATGTCCAGCTGAGGCAAGGCCTTACAGGCCATATGAAAAGAAATTGGACTCCAGAACTGTGAGCAGTTACTTTGTTGGTTATTCGGAGCGATCTAGGGGCTATAAGTTTTATGATCCCACACAGAAAATTATTTTTGAGACGGGAACAGCCACGTTCTTTGAGGATATTGATTTTGGGGGGAGAAATAAAGTTAAGGAAATCATCTTTGAGGAAGAATCGGTTCCAGTTTCTAATCCGATTCATATAGTTGCTTTTGACAATGCAAATTTGGAACCTCAAGTTGATACAGAAGTACTTCCTCCAAATGAAGATGACGATGTTATCGAACATGAAGGTCAAATTCAAGATCCTCAAGAAGTGGTGCAACAAGAACAAGTGCCTTTGCGGCGATCCACTGGAGAAAGAAGAAGCGATATTCCGGATGATTACATAGTGTTTCTTCTGGAACAAGAGGAAAATCAAACCCAGTTGGAAGATGATCCTATCAACTTCCGTGAGGCAATGGGTAGTTCCAAATCAGATAAGTGGGTTAAAGCTTCTGAAGAAGAGTATCAGTCAATGCTAGACAACAAAGTTTGGGACCTCGTCGAGTTACCAGAAGGAAAGAAACCAATTGGTTGCAAATGGATATTTAAAACCAAATTGGACTCAAGTGGTAATGTCGAGAGGTATAAGGCTCGTCTAGTGGCTAAAGGATATACTCAGAAAGAAGGGATTGACTACAAAGAAACCTTTTCTCCAGTTTCTTCAAAGGATTCTTTTAGGACAATCATGTCTCTTGTTGCACATTATGATTTAGAGCTTCATCAGATGGATGTCAAGACAGCGTTTCTCAATGGAAACATTGATGAGACGATTTATATGGAGCAACCAGAAAACTTTGTAATGGGTGATTCAAAGAAAATGGTCTGCAAACTAAAGAAATCCATCTATGGGCTAAAACAGGCTTCTCGTCAATGGTACCACAAATTTCATGAGGTAATCACCTCCTTTGGTTTTGAGGTGAATTTGGTTGAAGATTGTGTGTATCAGAATTTCAGTGGGAGTAAGTGTATTTTCTTGGTATTGTATGTTGATGAAATACTTCTGGCTACCAACGATATAGGCATGTTGCATGAGACCAAGAGATTTCTTAAGGAAAATTTTGCGATGAAAGATCTTGGTGAAGCATCTTTTGTATTAGGGATCCAGATTCATCGAGATAGATCTCGAGGTATTCTTGGATTATCACAAAAGAGCTATATCGATAAAATACTCAAGAGATTTGGCATGCAGGATTGCAAACCAAGTGATACCCCAGTCGCTAAAGGAGATAAATTCTCTCTCAGTCAGTGCCCTAAAGGAAATTTGGAAATTCAGGAAATGCAAAAGATTCCTTATGCATCTGCAGTAGGAAGTCTGATGTATGCTCAGGTTTGTACGCGTCCAGATTTAGCGTACATTGTTGGAGTTTTGGGCAGATACTTAAGTAATCCAGGTTTGGACCATTGGAAAGCAGCCAAAAGGGTCATGAGGTACCTGCAAAGAACAAAGAACTTTATGCTCAAATATCAGAGATCAGATCATTTGGAGATCATTGGGTATTCTGATTCTGATTTTGCTGGATGTCAAGATAGTAAAAAGTCCACTTCAGGCTATGTGTTTCTGTTGGCTGGTGGAGCTATTGCATGGCGAAGTGCAAAACAATCACTTGTAGCTTCCTCCACAATGGCGGCAGAATTTGTAGCAGTTTTTGAGGCATCCAATCAGGGACTTTGGTTAAAGAATTTTGTCACAAGGCTGCGAATTCTTGAAGGAATTGAAAGACCACTAAAGATATATTGTGACAATAAATCAGCTGTTTTGTACTCCAACAAAAATAGGAGTGCGACAAAGTCCAAGTTTATCGAAATTAAGTTCCTGGTTGTTCAGGAGAGAGTACAAAGTGGAGAGAGTTCTATAGAACACTTAGGGACAAACTCCATGATTGCTGATCCTCTTACAAAAGGTATTCCACCCAAGGTCTTTCATGAGCATACTGCTCGAATGGGTGTTTCAGTGTTTGATGGTCATTTGGTTTAGTGGGAGTTTGTCATTTGTTTTTGGGTTCTATGTTTTGGTTGTGTTTCAGCACATTTTATTCTGATCAGAAATAAAGTCTTATAGTTTACACTTTGTTCAATAAATTTAAAGGATCTCAATAAAGAAGGACCAGTTGAAAATCGACATGTATTGATCACTTTTCATGTGATTTTCATGCTTCACTTTTCATAATTGATCTCTGTCATTTGACTATATTGATTTCAGTGACCATGGAAGGTTTAGTTATGATTGCTATAACGAAGGCCGCCATGATCCTATGTTGCTATAGTTAATGGACGTGATTGTTTATGCCCTGATATATAATGACAATTTTGAGCTCATAAAGTCTATCACATTTTCAGATACACATGTGACCCAGTGGGAGATTGTAAGAATTATTTAGGGTCACACATGTAGAATCAATGTGTTAGGGTCATTATTTAAAGTAGTCAAAACTTATGTGGTCATTTTGATATTAAAGAAAAGACTAATGGGGCATAAGTGTTATGAAAAATTAATGTGAGGATACACTCAGTAATTTCTAATTTGATGACGGGCCGAATTAGAAATTATTCTCTATATAAATAGAGAGGTTATGGTCCCCGCAGCAACCCTAACAAGAAATACAGAAAATTCTCTGCATCCCATCAACAGAGATCTACAGCCATTCAGGGTTTGTTGTGGAAGAACCATAGCCAAATTCAGAGCATAAATCATGGATCCAAAAGGTACGCTTCCACTTCTGTTCTTATTAATCAGAGACTGACATGCTATAATGGTTTATAAGGATTTAAAACCTTTCAAAAACAACTTAAGACAGCAACAAAAGGATCGTTCTGAAGCCAAACAAACGAATTAGCTAGTTGTGAGGTTTTGCAATCGAATTCAACCTCAATCTAATTAGCTCTTAAGCCTTGAGCTAACTATATGATCGATTAACGTTGATACGATTTGTTTGTTGTTGATTCAAACTTAAGACAATAGAATTTGTTCACTGGTTCTCTCAAAGATTCACTAAACGGGTAAATCAAGGGTAATCAACGGTTGAGTACAAAGAAGATACTAGATCTCTATGTAGCACTTGTAACCTATTACAGGTTCTTACCGATACAAGCAACAATAGAAATAGACCCGCGAAAGGAGAGAACAACCTGGAGAAGACGAAGAGCTCAAAGACTCGTTAATCTGCCTCTGTTTCTCTTTTTTTTTTTTTTTTTCCTTGTCTTGTGTCTTAGGTTTTCAAAACCTTGTAATAGCTTATATATCAAGTAAACACATCCGATTTGGGCCTTAGCGCATAAATATCAACCCTTCTCCCCCTTGTCGTTGTGGGCTTCTCTTTCTTTTCACTTTTAAATTTTTTGTAACACTGGTTCTTGTCGCAGCGTCAACGAACAGGCCCAATATATACTACCAGACTTTTGTGTTTGCAAGGAAGACCTGAAGAGAGTGATTTCATGAGATGTCTCTTCAAATATGCTTGTAGCTTGAAGTATTCATCAATCTTTAGATGATCATTACAATAGAAACTTGAAAAGTATTTATCTGAATGTGAATACCTAATGTAAAAAAAGAATAGTGGAAAAAGAACAAGGAAGAACAAATAATATAACACTTAGTTACAAATGGAATGATCATAATCTATATAACTTACAACAACATCAACTTCCATGTTTCAACCAAAGAACAAAAAACTCTCCAATAAAAAAACTTGCGACTCAAGAAAAACTCCACCGTGTTATAAAATTTGAGGAAAGACTAAAAAAAAGTAACAGAGAAGAAAATAAAAGAAAAGGAAAGAAAAAGAGAATCTCTCATCTGAACTATTTACCACTTTTTTTTTTGTTGCCATTAGTGTTGTCTTCTTTCAAATGCCAACCCATTTGACCCATCTGAAAAACCTCCCAACCCTAAACGGCAACTCATAGTCTTTAGCAAGAGCTGGTTCTCTCGTTACAGTCTCACTATCAGACCAAACATAAACTCCACGTTCTTGCTTGCTCCCAGGAACCGTATTGTCCAAAACCACGGCCATAATAAACGCAATCACCATGTTCATCGATAAGAGCGTGTTCATCACATAATTCACCTGCAAAAAAGAAAAAAAAAACTCAAATTAAGTTTCCTAAAAATTAGATCCAGAAAGTGAATTTGAGTGCAGAACGTAACGTACCCCTTTATATTGGCTTTTGAAGGGTCCATGAGAAGCAACAATGTAAGGTTGGTAATAACTTGGAACTGAGAGGTTCGAGTTTGGAGAAATGTCATATTGCTGGAAGTAAGCAGGGACAGAGAGTGAAAAGAACAGTGATAATCCGACGATGATGATGTTCCTCGAGCTTCCTGCTTCGCTGTAACGTAAGTTTGAAAGACCTAAAGCCGTAAACATTGCCCACATAAAGCAAAGAAGAGAAGCAACCATGACTTGAGGAATCGATGCGATAAACCCTCCAACTTTACCTGAAGATATCAAAAGTTTCTTCAGCCAAAAAAAGAGTAAAAAGTTTTGGAAGTGAAAGCTAAATAAGCAGTGACCACTTACTTACCAACAAGAGAAAATATAACCAAAACACAAGCGCCTAACTCCACGACTCTGCGGCTTCCCATTTTGGTCACAGCGATTGTATGAACGTTTTCGGTTAAGGTGGTTGAACCAGTACCTGTACCCCAAAGACCGGCTAAGACACTTGTGAAGCCTTCAAGACCAATTGCTCGGCTCACAACACCAGGAGTTGGAGGTCTCGATGCTACTAACAGAGAAGAAGCATGGTACGAACCAACCTGACCGTAACAGAATTTACCATATCATCAACTGATTTGTAAAAGTGTGATGCTTTGACTTCAAAATACAGATTTTGATGGTTAAACTTAAAGTTGATAGAAAACACTAACCGAATCTACTGAAGCAATTATGGAGACTATGCACATAACAAGAGACATTTTCCAGGTGAATATTGGCACACCCCATTGCAAAGGGTAAGGAAACCTAAACCAAGGGGCGGATCTCAGTGCATGAGAAGTATCAACACGACAGTACTTCATTCTGGTCATGTATTTTCTGCAGTGGCTCGATACAACATTTGAGATGGGGACGTTTGGGTCACAACCTTTGTACGTGTAAGCTCCTGTTTCGGTTAAAAGGAATGCAGCGGCCCAAGTAATAGCAAGACTCAATGGAACCTGTCAATAAGAAGTTAAGAAGGTAAGTCACAATCAGATGTAGAGTGGGAACGGACATAATTTAAAAATCTACCACATGACCTTACCGCGTATATAAGGAAAATCCGATGGCTTAAAACTGAGATTTTTCGGAGATACTGCAGCAAAATTTGTACAAGTATCAATATGTGTTAACATGAACCTGATGTGACATGATACGTTTAATCTACATTCAAGAAGAACTCGAAACTAGCATCCAAACAAACGTCTACTTGTTAAAGGTGGTTAATGGTAACTTCACTAAACTTACAAGAGCAAAGATGACCACAAGTAGTATCTGCACTACACCGATCTCAAGACATTTACCAACAAGCGGGAATCCGTAGCTGTAAAACGAGAGTCCAACTGCAGCTATCGTTGGAGCAACAACTACTGGATTGACCAACCTATATACAAGGTCAAAAGATATTATGTGTAGACAGAGCCACAAAATCATGTGTAGACAAAGCCACAAAATCATGTGTAGACAAAACACCAAATAACGACTAATGCTAGATTTATATTTGGAATGTGTTATCTTTGGACAGAGACAGAGATGTATACCTCAGAATCAACGACATTAGGCCACTGTATCCAAGCACTGCTTGAAAAGCTGAACCAATTATGATTGCACCTTGCAGCTCCCTCATGATATGCTTGAAGTTCTACCATATTCACCAAAACAAAACACTTAATAGATTCTTTATACAAGACACTCTATATGATTTCACACAAACCATAAAAAAAAAAACACTGCATGCACAATGATTGGCGTCTTAACTTAGACATAGAAAAGCAAAAAAGAAGATTTTATTCTTCTTACTTACATTCCCATTCAAACCTTGAAACTCAGGGGAGTTTATGATGGCCAAAGCCGGAGCCAGAAATACAAAGGAAGGGCCTTGAATCAAAGGAAGCCTCGACCCAAATGAAGTATGCAACAATGTAGTGATTCCAGACACAAATAGTACAGTCGAGACAACATTTGCAATCTCCTCCTATAATCCCACAAAAAAAAAACATGAAATTAAATGCAATCCACATTGATCAAAAGCTTGAGGGACCAAAAGAATCAATCACTTACGTGCGAGCCTCCCATTGCAGGAACTATGACCAATGGAACCAGAATCAATGAGCCTAACATCGATAGGTTATGTTGCAAACCATAGAACCCAATTGGAACTGAGAAACACAAAAAAATAACCATAATTAATCCAAAACAACAATTAAAGTAAGAAACTTAAAAAAGATTTGAACTGTCTGACATCAAATCTCCAAAAGGAATCTATATAATTATTTTACCAATTATAAGGTCACAATCATGAGACTCAACAACAATTAAACAAATGATTCCTTAAAAAAGAGAGAAAATTTAAAATCTCTGTCACTCACCAAGTCCAGGAGTATCTCTGAGGCCATACTTCATATGCAAATTTCTAGCCGCTAAATCATCATCCATGCTCTGTGGCAAAACCCCCACTGCCTCTTCAATACGGGTCGGTCTTCTAATCGGGTCGCCTGACCCGTTTGCTCCATCGGGTCCGTTTGATCTCCCAACAACCCCATCAGAATCTCTCCGTCTCTTAACCGGCTGATCCTTAACCGGACCAGCAGCAACAGCACCTGGTCGTGATGATGGTAGTGGTGGTGGTGGTGGTGGCGGTGGTTTCTCATTCTTATCCTTATCAGTCCCACCGTTGGCTACGGCGGGGACAGGCGGAGGACGGAGGCGAGCCTGACCAGCCTCGAGATCCGGTTGGGTTTCAGGTTGTCTGGCGGCTCTGACGGAATCGGAGGCGTTAACCTCGCCGGAGAATTTGGGACGGAATCCGGTTTTTTTAGCCCATGTAGACGGTGGCATTGCGGAGGATTCTGGAGCTGGTGGCCATGGACCCGGTTTAGGTCCGGTTTTCGGGTCGGAGCTTGACATTTTTTCACGGATTTTCTCAGTAATGCATAGTGACGTTCTCTAGATCTACAACAGAGGAAACTTAAAAATCTCTCCGCCGGAGAAGAGAGAGTTGAAGAAGAAAACGACAAAAATTGGGAATTAGGGTTTTCTTCAAACACACAGAGAGAAGAGAGAGTACAGTTGAGAGAGAGAGAGTGTGGGAAGTTCTAAGAAGTAAGTAACAGTGAATGTGAAATTTTGGAAGGTGAGAGAGAGAGAGAGTGTGTGTGTAATGGAGATTTTCAGAGAAATAAGAAAAAAAAACTAATTTAAGATATTATTAACATTTCAATATTTGTTCTGATTTGGGTGTTTAATAAATTACGTACGACATAATCAAGTGATGTCATAAATCCATTTGTTTGCGGATTATATATGGTTACAAAATAGGAGAGTTCTACTAAAAAACAAAATAACTTATCTTTTTCTGTAGTCATAAAAGTGATAAAACCAAATACAAAACTTATTATTATCTGAAAATAATTTTTGTATGATCTAATAAAGTTATAAAATGATAAAACAGTGCATGTTGAGAGCAAAATCCCTCACGAATATTTCCTACATAAACTTAAGAATTTCTTACAAGAATAAGAAGAATAATAATAGATGCTAAATTAAAAGGCTAATATTACAACGGGCCAGGGCCAGGTTTTTAAAAAATAGGTTGGGCCGTTTTACTAAAGGGCTCCACATTCCGGTTTGATTAAAATTATCAGGCGAATAGCCAAATCAACCACTGGTTACACAATTAAACCGGGTTTAGCTCTTTGTCAATTTCATTTGTAGTGGTTCTGCCATTTGCAGAAGCTGAGAAAAATGGCTGCAACTAGGTCTACGTTTCTGGGTTCCATCTTCAGAATCGCTAATGCTCGAAGTTTAATCTCACCCGAAACCAAACTCTCCTTCCCAAACCCTAATTTCAATTTCTCGCGCTTCCACACTTCTTCTCTTCTTCAGGCTCGATTCGAAGGTTACATTTCGAGGTAAATTTCAGATTCTCCATGAATTGAATGTTTGTGTTTGATGGGTTATCTTACTTTGACGCAAAGTTCCAATTTTTATTGAAAATCTCAGAAGTTTTCATAGTATTATTGCTTCCACTTGCTTTGGCTCTACACTCACATCTCGTCAAGGTAACTTATATATTTCTCTGAATCAATTATGCTTTCATCGATTCTGTAAATGTGGTTTCTGATTAGGAACTTTTTTGATCTTGAATCAAAGCTTAGGTCGATATATACTATACTCAACAACAGTCCCAACTCGTTCTCTTAGAAGAAGAATCAGCAAAAGAAACAACCCAAAACCCGTTCTTGATCAATCTAAGTTTCAAGAAACTATCTCAAAGCTCCCACCAAGATTCACCCCTGAAGAGCTTTCCGATGCTATGACCCTCCAAGAAGACCCTTTACTGTGTTTCCACCTCTTTAACTGGGCATCACAGCAACCAAGATTCAAACACGAGAACTGCTCTTACCACACAGCGATAAGAAAGCTTGGAGCCGCCAAAATGTACAAAGAAATGGACGATGTCGTGAACCAGGTGCTCTCTGTTCGTCACGTAGGCAACGAGAATCTCTACAACTCCATCGTCTTCTATTTCACCAGAGCCGGGAAGCTGATACGTGCCGTGAACATATTCAGACACATGACCACTAGCAAGAACTTGGAGTGTAGACCGACGATTAGAACGTATCATATCCTCTTCAAAGCGTTGTTGTGTCGAGGTAACAACTCTTACACGAGCCACATGTATATGGAGACGATAAGGTCTTTGTTTAGACAAATGGTGAATAACGGGATCGAACCAGACGTGTTTGCTTTAAACTGTTTGGTTAAAGGCTATGTGCTCTCGCTTCATGTAAACGATGCGCTTAGGATATTTCATCAGATGAGTGTGGTTTACAGTTGCGAGCCGAATTCGTTTACTTATGATTATTTGATACATGGGTTATGTGCACAAGGCAGGACTACTAATGCTAGAGAGTTGTTTGGTGAGATGAAAGGGAAAGGTTTTGTTCCTAATGGCAAGTCTTATAACTCTCTTGTTAATGCTTTTGCGCTTAATGGCGAGATCGATAATGCTGTGAGTTGTTTGTGGGAGATGGTTGAGATTGGTCGTGTGGTTGATTTCATTACTTGTAGAACACTCGTTGATGAGAGTTGCAGGAAAGGGAAGCTTAATGAAGCGAAGAGATTGTTGGAGATGATGAGAGAGAGAAAGGTTGTGGATAGAGATTCGTATGAGAAGTTTGTGAGTGTTCTTCACAAGGATTTGTAGAATTTATGTACAAATGGGGTTTTCTAGTTAATTTGTTGTATAATTTTTGAAAATTTTGGTGAAGCATTTTTTTTTTCTTCTTCTGCATTGATTAGAATTAGAGTAATCCAAAATGTCGATTAATTTCATTTCAAAATTCGTAAGCCTTTCTTCATTAATTAGAACTAGATTTATAATCCGCGCAATTTCATTATTAAACAAATATGAATATGAATCGTTAAACAACTAATTCATCATATTTGTTCTTTCTATGTTTTTTTTTTTTTTTTTTTAAGTTTTTTTCTACATCTTTACATTCTTATACTTTGTCATCTTTGTTTTCTACCTCTTTTTTCATCTTAAACATTTTCATCTTTATATTTTTTTCGTCTTGCTTTTCGTCTTCTTTATTTTTCATTTTTTTCAATATTTTTCTTCGTAATCTTCGACTTCTACTTTTTTTTTGTCTTCTTCAACTCTTTCCTCTTTTTTTTTCTTTTTTTATTTCAGGTTTTTGTCATCTTCTTCTGATTTTGTTATATCTTTTATTCTTACTTATCTTGTATATGTATTTTTCCTCTTCTACTTTGTCTTCATCTGCGTACTTTTCTTTAATTTTTTATTTTTCTTCTTTTTCCTATTTTTCTTAGTATTTTTCATTGTTTTTAATTTTTTTTCATCATCGTCATTTTCTCTGACTTTATTTTTTCAAGTTTTTACTCTTCTTATTTTGATAAAAATTAAATTTTATAATTTAATTAGTTTATGCACTTTAAAATAATAACTATTTTTCATTAAAAAAAAGAGAGGAACATTAACACTGAAGTTTTTTTATTTTAATCGTCTTAAATTCATTCAAGAATGGAAAAACTATTCCAGAGGGAGCTTACAAATAAGGAAATGACCCCCCAAACCATAGCACTTAAGCCTAATACTAAGACTAATGATGCTATAGGGAGCCCCGATAAATCATAATACAACCGAGACATCGACGCTCCGATCTGAAAACTTACAGACTTCACCTAGCGTCATGTTGCAATCTTTCGTGCAACCAAGCCGGACCACCAATGGACAGATTGTAATCTTCCATCTCTAGTTACGCTTTTGGCGATTGCTTGTACAGCCTGGTCCGCTTGTGCTGTTTCTAGTTCAAAACCTGCAATGCCACATCCCTGCTGCAACCTGTAAATTTGATCTGTGAGCATACGATATCTTGGCCAATTGGCAGGATTCATGATAGCTGTAAAAGCCTTTCTACAGTCCAATGCTAGCACCACATTCTCCAATCTCAAATCACGAAGGCTTTTGATCGCCCAAATTACACCTTTGAGCTCCGCTATATTTCTATTGGGGGCTTTGGTGAAAGCATCTCTGGCATGGAAAAATAGTGGAACTCCTGTGGTCTATGACGATCCAAGCAGCTCCACAATGTAACATCGAATTCTTCCAATGAACATTTAGATTGCACTTAAGCTTTCCACTCGGAGGAGGTTGCCATTTACCCGACAGAACACTAGAATTCCTCTCCAAAGCATCTTCAGTGTCGATTAAGTTATTAGCCTCTTTCCAAGCTTTTGCTTCATCATTAGCCACTTGGATGATTCTAGCACTCGAATCTTGATTACCTGAGAAAATGATGGCATTTCTGTTCTTCCATATCCACCATAGTATCCAAGGAATCATTATTCTGATCTCCTCAATTATGTTTTGGTCATCTAACCAATCAAGCACGGCTGACATATTCACCTCAAGGGAATTCGAGAAGCCATTCGAAGGGAGATGAAGACGCGAAAGATCCCAAACAGCCCTGGCTGATTCACATTGAAAAAGCACATGGTTAATAGACTCCGAAGCCTGTCTGCATAACCTGCACCTTGTATCCATAGGTACCGATCAGCTACAGCCACTGCACCCGATAAGACTCTTTAAAAGAAAAACTTAATCTTCGGTTCTGTAGACATTTTCCAGACTCGCTGTTTTAACGAGATCCGTTCCTTCTCTAACAGCGACACTGGAGGTTGAGGTAGACGTGGATGATTAGCAAGCAACCAGTAACCGCTTTTAACCGAAAATGCACCATCATAAGTGTAAGCCCATATATGTTTATCAGGAACTCTTCCAATCGACATATCCCAAATTTTAGCTGCATTATTTGGAGGAAATAATTCATGAACTTTGTTCTCCATCCATTTTCCTTCTTCAGAGATTAAATCCGAGACTCTCAACTCAAGATCCATGAAAATTTCCTTATTCACCGGCCTCCTAGGATGTTCATCAAAGACCCATTTCTCTAACCCAGATCTGTGTGCTTGAGCCATTCCTTAATCGACTTTATCAACCTACGTTCCAGTAGTTCTTTACCAAACATGATGGTCCTCCAAGCATATGATGGTCGGTAGCCTGAGCCACAGTCTAAGAAGTCTTTATTGGCGAAGTATCTTCCTTTGTATAACCTTGATAACAATGTCTGCGGCTCATTGAAAATCTTCCAGGCTTGTTTCACTAACAAGGCTTGATTGAAATCCTCAACATCTCGGAATCCCAAACCACCTTTTGCCTTTGATTTGCACATTGATTTCCATGCTACCCAGTGAATTTTGTTCTGGTTTTCGCAAGCATTCCACCAGAACTTGGTCATAGCCGAAGTGAGCGTTTGACAGTGATGCTTCGTTAATCTGAAACAAGACATCGCATATACTGGGAGGGTCATAGCAATCGATTTAAGAAGAATCTCCTTACCCCCCAAGGATAATGTTTTAGCGTACCAACCATGCAATCGTTTCTCCAATTTCTCGCCAATGAAAGCTAGTAAAGCCCGCTTGGACCCGCTAAAACACTCCGGAAGACCTAAGTATTTGCCATATCCACCTTCTTTTTCAATACCAAGCCGTTCTGCAAGTAATCTTCTCTGAAACGGATCAATCGCTGCACCAAATGTTACTGCAGATTTCTGAAAATTAATTTCCTGCCCTGAGGCATCTCCGTATAATTGCAGGCATTTTAAAAATTATGTGCATTCTCTGAGATTCGCCTTGCAAATGAAGAAGCTATCATCTGCGAAAAGAAGATGTTGAATCAATGGGCAGCTTTTAGATAACCTCATCCCAGTCACTCTGCCTTCCTTTTTGGCTTTGCTCATTACATGGACAAGGGCTTCGACACATAAGATGAACAAGAAAGGGGACAGTGGATCTCCTTGTCGGATCCCTTTTTCCGGCTTGAAATGACCATGAGGCTCATCATTCAGTAAAACCGTGTAGGACACCGATCTAATGCATTCCATAACCCATCCAACCCACTTAGAATGGAAGCCCATCTTGAAAAACAATGTCTCCAGGAAATTCCATTCTACGCGGTCATACGCCTTCGACATATCGGTTTTTATCGCCATGAATTCCTCCTTGCAATTCGGATTGGTGCGCAACCCATGGATCATCTCATGGGCAATGAGAATGTTGTCAGAAATTAATCGACCAGCAACGAAGGCCCCTTGTGTTTGCGACACTAGCTTGGGTAGAAAACGCTTCAGTCTCGTGCATAGAACTTTGGACACGATCTTATACGTAACTGAACATAGGCTGATGGGCCTTAGATCGGTCATCCTCTTGGGGTTCGGTGTTTTCGGAAGTAAACATAACTGGGTAAAGTTCCACTCCTCCGGAAGCTGTCCAGTTTCAAAAAAACGTTTGACTTCAGACGTGACATGTGCGCCTGCGATTCCCCAGAATTGCTGAAAAAATTTTCCACTCATCCCATCAGCTCCAGGTGCACTGTCACCTTTGATTCTTTTCACAGCCCGTTGAATTCCTCCATCCGAGATCGGTTGGATCAATTCTCGGTTCATCTCATCTGTTACTTTTGCTTCAAAGCCCTGTAACAACTCTGTACCGTCCCCAGTGACCGATGATTCAAAGAGCTTCATGAAATACTTCACCGCCACATTGCCTTTAGCATCCTTCTCAAAGTGTTCGAAAGCCTTCATTGTCAATCAACGAACCGATGGAGTTTTTCATTCGTCTCGATTTGACCCATCCATGGAAGAAACATGAATTACAATCTCCCACCTTCAACCATTTCTGTTTACTTCGCAGTTTCAAATACAGCTCTTCCTCAATGGTTGTTTTAGTTAACTGCGACCTCAAAAGCTGAAGCTTAGCAAAATCAGGACTCAACTTGGAGCTTTCTACCTCGACCTCTTCCTGCAACTGCTGAAGACGGACACGGGAGTTAGAGTTTGAGGATCGCTTCCATTTTGAAAGTTCCTTTCTACAATTTTCAATCCGTTCTGAGACTTTTGTATTCCGATCACCCAAGTTCCATCCTTTCCTTACAACATCAATCACACCAGGTTTAGAGCACCATCGTCGATTAAATCCGAATCGGCCTTTCTTCCGTTCATTACCACCAGAAATGCGAGTTAACAGGGCTCTATGATCTGAAGACCACCTCTTTAAATATTCTGTGTGCGTTCTTGGAAAAAGCCTGAACCATTCCGCATTACCAAATGCTCTATCTAACCGACATTGTATCCATACCTTCTCCTTCTGCCCCAAGTCATTGATCACCTCTCTCCTGCCACCCCAGGACAGCAAATTAACAAAGCTCGGCGTTTCTTTTAGGTGGCATTCTCGAATGAAAGATCTAAAAGCTCGAAAACTGGATTCAGGTCTGCAGCTACCACCTAGTTTTTCACTATTATTCATGATTTCATTGAAATCACCTACCAGAAACCACGCTTCATCCCTGTTACCACCAAACGATGACAGTAAATCCCAGACCTCTTGTCGTCGATGTCTCACAGGATCTCCATATATGAATGACATATAAAACTCTCGCGAGTCACACTTTATTTTTGTATCAAGCACTCTATTGTTAGAAAACAATACATCCACCAAGTGGGAACTCTTCCAAAACAAGGCCAAATCTCCACTTAGACCAGCTGGATCAATCACATGTACATGATCATAACCCAGGGATCTTCTTAAACCTACCACAAAATCACTAGAGTTTTTCGTCTCTAGGAGAAACATGAAATCCGGGAAATGCTCTCTGCACATTTCCTTCAGGCGTCGAACTGTCGAGTCGCTTCTCAAACCCTGACAGTTCCAACTGAGCGTCATCATTGAGGATTGGATGGTTTCTGGAAAACCATCAAACCTTTATCTTGCTTTGAGAACTTCGACACCACCTCATCAGATTCACTTGCTTTACGTTTTGTAGACTGCTCTACTTCCTCATTTTGCCCCCTTCGCATTCCTTTCAAAGATGTATCTTTTGAAATGGAGCCATTGTTAACCCGTTTCTTTCTCGACCATGATGCCGAGCACTTCCGTGAATTCCTGCTATTTCCACTCGTGCGTGAAGTTCCAGGTTCAACAACACCAACGTGAAAATCCGAAGCTATAACTGGTGGAATAAAGTTATCTAAACCTTCTTTGTTTTCGAAGAGATTATTCCTTACGAGCGGACTTGCTGAATTGATCCTTTGCTTTGCGCCCACTTCACCCATAGAGTAATATTCTCCACCTCCAGTCCGACTGCGTTGACTGGTTCCAAGCTTGGATTGGGCTTTCCTTTCTCTACTGCCTCACTCTGACTCACTAGCGATTCCGACTGTCGCTTACCCATTCTTTCCTCCGCCTGAGCCATCTCCACATTCCTATAATCAAAAACTTTACCAATACCCTTATCAAGCTCAGCAGAGATACGTGGTGGAGGTTCAAATCTAAGGATGGATCGTTGAGCTACAGGGTTTTTGGATAAGTCATCTAGTGCTACTCTCATCCTGTGCTCCCGAATTGCCTTTTCTGCAGGGTCAAGACAATTCATATAGAGTCTCATTTCTTCAAAAACCTCTGGGACGACCATATTCGGACGGGGTTCAAACCCTGGAGGAATCGATGGAGCTAACATGGGCATGATTTTGTCCACCAAATCAGTGTGATGTTGCTGCGTTTTGTGTCCAGGAGTATCACTGTTGATCCTCGTCTCTATCCTCTGATTCTCCACTCTTTCAGGTCGTTTCTTCTGACTCAGGAAAAGTGGACATTTCTGCTTCTCATGGGTTAGGCGAAAACAGTGAAAGCATTTCTTCCGGATTTTCTCATACTCAATATCCACTACAGCGCTTCCTGCTGCTCTGGATAAATTAATTGTCTTTGTGTCTCGAAGAGGTTGTTCTACATCGATGACGACCAGAACCCGAACAAATTCCTGGAATCTAGTCTTTTCAGGGTCAAAAAGTATTTCTTTCACTTGGCCCACCCGATCCGCTACAGCATCAATGGTCTTTAGAGTGCAAAAATTCAGAGGAATTTTTCGAATCCTAATCCATATCGGCGCCATCTTCAAAAACTTAAGTGGAGAATTTTCTACCCATCTTTCCATAATCATACTCCAGTCATCAAAGGACCATATACCATCCTTCATTACTGTCTCCATGTCCGTCTCACTTTCAAAGATAAACTGAATACTTTCTTTGGATAGGGCTATGCCACGCACCCTATCATAAACCTTCCAGATTCGTGGCATCGTTTTCAGCATCCTCGCCATATTTTTACATTCCGGATTGAGGAGCCGGCTAATCAGACTCTTGGCGTTTACCTGCACCGCACTGTAATCTTCATCGTCCGGTAGATCAATCGGTTTGTCGTCATCCAAGGACATCGACTGTAGGGCTTCATTCAGTAAACCATCCATGACTAACAGGAAGAGAATAATCCGCGTTCCAGCTCCAACCTTCTCAATTCCTAATGCTTTGGTAGATGGAGGCTGATGAAACTGCTGCGAAAACCCTAGAGGCCGATCTTGCTCTAGCTTAAATTTGGCAAGACAGTAGCTCATTTTTCCAAATTCACAGATTTCTTGAAGCCGAAAAAGGAAATTTTCCTTTCTTGTCACTTTTACCGACAAGGCAAATTGCCTTTCGGAGGGAAACTCTACAGTCATAAACGACTAGAGCAAAGACTCTACACGAGAGAGAGAGGCCTAAGCGAAAACGAGGCATTTTTGACGTCTGACCTTTTTTTTTTTTTTTTTCTAAATGACTCAATCTAATAACATAACACTGAAGTTAATGACTCAACTAATTGAAATAATTTTTATAATTTTTATTATATATAAGACTAAGAGAAAACCTACGTGTATACACACAGGTTTGTGTAATGGAGAATGTTTATTTGTTTTCATTGATATATTTGTTATTTTTTTATATTTAATTGTATATATTTTAGAAGTCCAACGTGAGTAGAGTATTTAGTACAATAACCATGTAATAAATCATTACATGAAGCAGATAATTAAAATGTCAAAGGCAAAAGACATAGTGGAGGTAGAATCAGAAGTCATGAAACAGATGCGAGTAGTCAGCAAAGAGAAGATGGAGTCGATGATAGTGAAGCCCCACTTGAATCTTTTTTCTCTTCAGCTGAAATTCCATAATAAATTGGATTGTTAGTTGATATAAAATAAAATGGATTGTTAGTTGTACATTCTTTATTTAGATTTCATTAGCTCAATAAAAATTGTAATACGTACCTGGTTTTGTATTTTGTTGTTTAGATGCATTTGCTGTTGGTTCTTCTTTAGCTGCAGTAGTCTTCGTGTTTTTCCTCTCCTATTTATTTTAAATCAAATTTCATTACTACCTACTACTCATTACTATTTGGCTTACGTAAAATTGATTATAATATTAAAAAGTGAAAGCATATAACTTCTAATTTCTGATAGGTATATTAGACCATGTAATTGATAAGAATTTTTGTAAATTCCTTTAAATAGAATAGATTATTTGAAAATGAGATAACGTTCACATAATATTTGAGAATTATTATAAAATAAAATAGAAAGATAGAATGTGTTTTGATAGACACAAAATATCTGAAACAAAGATGTGTTGTAAAACACAAATATAGGAACTTCTTCATATCATTATTCTTTAGTTGTCTACATTGAACTTTTCTTTTTCGGGTGACGTTCAATGCCGTCTTCAAAGTTGACAGAGTCCTTTTCATCTTCTTTTTTGATCTTCTTGATGTCCACTTTCTTATGAGAGAAAAATTCTCCTTCTTCACTTGTTGGATCCTGCTTAATTTTAAATTCATTTAAATATTATATAGTTAAATAATTGCGATACTTGTTTGGGATTATATTATTGATACGTCTGATGATTTGATCTCAATAATGGTAGATTTGTTTGGATTTTCTATGACAATCTTTGAAACTGTGAATGCTTGGAAAGAAGTTCTGAATTTATATTTTGTTATCTATACTTGGAAATCCATTGTTTTTTCATTTAACACAAGAATAGCATCTTTAATTGATTTAGCATAGTGGTTTTCTTTTTCTTCATCTGTCTTCTTAAGATCAAACTACAATACAAACAGTCGCAAGTTATATATTTTATTTTGTGTAATTCATGAAGTGGTATATGCTTTTTAAGTTAATGGTACCTGTGAAAATGTAATTTCTTCAGATGTTGTGTTTGTAAGTTTCAGACGTCTTTGTCAAACAAGACAAACTTGGCTCTTGCAACTCCGCTTTGGACGCTTATCTCTACTCTAAATCTGAAAATAATTAAAATGTTATATAGGTGGAAGACAGATCAGATGAACTTGTAGTATATGTGATTTTAGGTAAGTTTGAAGAATAACATAGTATGCATATAACAGACTTGTTTTTCTGATTTCAAGAACCAAATGTTTGAAGAACCAAAGGTTGCAATACCTCGCATAGTTTTTCATATCGAGCTTATTATCCTATTATTTATTCAACTTTCTATAAAATTATCTGACGCATTGGATATGGAAAAAAAATTAGTGCTTTATCAACCAAAATTTATGTCCTTGTTAATATTATTTAGATATGTGCCAATAGAATATGCTGTCTCATGGCACTTATAGAAAATAAAAGAAATCAGATAGAGCATCCTATGGAAGGTGTTAACCTCTCTAAAAATGAATCCAATTTACTCGAGAGTGATGTATTTTAATTCTGGTTTACCTGACTACTCCAATTGTGTTGACTTCATTGCATACGTTACATTGGAGAGAAGTTGCGGTCTTGGTGAATTTTTTAGAACATTTAACACAAGACAAATAGTTTCATCCATTGTGATCTATATGCTAATGATTTTAGCTTGGCAGATAACCTCTTTTTTCTGAAGTAGTAATTTTAATTTATTTTTTCGTGAGAACAATAAATAATTTAAAACTTTGACTTTACTAATAGTTGTGAATTGTTTTAGTACTTATTGTTTTTTGTCGGATATGTAATCCAGAATTTAGGAAATTGTCCAAGTCACATATTTGTTTGAGATGTTTTTGTCTTCTTCAACAGTGGCTTGGACAGAACTATCTTTTATTCCCACTATTTTAGCAAAAAAATCAGATGTGTGAATTTAAAAAAAAAATGGAAAATTCATTATCTAAAACTTGGGTTTAGCAATTTTACCTAGACATAAAGTTTTTGACAGCTTCTAAATCCTTATAAAAATAAAACTTTGTTGCTCCACTGGAGCTTAGTTAAAGTTTTTCTAAAATCAGATCTGTTACGACTCCAATTATGATGAAGATATATCGTGACTAATTTAATTGACGGTCACCTGCTAATATTTTGGGGTTCAAACCAGTTGCTACACTGCATTTGCAATTTGTTTGGTGAAAGAGTTTGCGGAATTATGATGCTTGATCATCCCATAACGTCATTTGAACAGTTTCGCTGCTGCAATAATGGTTGGTGTAATCTGTTTTTGGTTATTTTTAATGTAATAGTTAATTTGAATTTCTTTTAAAGAGAGTTATATCTTATACTTTTAGGAGGAGAAGGACAACAATATTTTAGGTTGATTTAGAATATTCGAGGTTTGATCCTTGGACATGTAATAGTTGTCCCATAATATCTGTAAAAAATTGTTAATATAATATATACAATTTGTTTCATTTGGATAAAATAATTTACCAAGCAGTTGCAAGTTGGTGTCACTTAGAGCTTTAACCTCAGAATACGTTTGTAACCTGAATTTTATTCCTTGATAGTATGTATCTCATCATTAGGTATTTCGACTATTTGAGTTGTGTCTGTAAACCGGATTAAGGATTTGTTGTTCGTGATTTTATAGTGATTGTAATTGGGGACTACTTCAAAATGGCTCACAGAGTAGAGATCCATCTCTAAGTAGACTTTTGAATCTATGGATCCATCGGTGATAAATATCCTATTTCAATATATTTAAAAGGGAGATTTTGTGAGAAATATTATTTGTGTTTTAATTTATTAAACCAGATATCTATAACTCATTTGTGATAATAATAATTGTAAAGTAAGCAAATGGCATACCTTTTCATCCAACAGAAGTAGGTCAAAATTCATAAGTGCTCCGTTGAGTTTGAAGTTTCGAACTTCCCATGAATGTAACAGACGAACCACTATAATTTGGTTGGAATTTCTTTGCTCGAGTTTCAGCAACAGAACAGAGCTGGAGCCTTTATTGGTAAAGCTGTTAGAAAAGTTTAAATCATCCAATCAACTTTTGTTACTATAGCATTTAAGAGAGCATTTAGAAGATGCAAATGCTCTTCTAAATGCTTCTTCCTCTATGCTCTCTCATGGAGTTTCAAAGCATTATACTTTTAAATATTTTAATAATTCAAAATAATTTTATATAATTAATTAATTTTGTTAAAATAACATCAAAAATTATATTTATATTAAAATGTAAATTTTTTACATGTTAACACTAATATTTACTATTTTTATTTTCAATATACTATTATAATTAAATAATAATTTAATATGAATAGAGATTCTCTCTATTCTCTCTCTAAAATCTTTCACAGAGAGTGAGAATTTTCTGCTTTGTTTTTCGATCAAATCGGATAATAATTCAGACTTTAAGATCTTTTGTTGTTTCATATTTCTTTAAGTCAGATTCTTGTATTCCGTTCATCGGATTTTATCTTTCCGTTCCAGATTTCCTTTTGTTAGATCAGATCGATTCTTCATATATAAAGTCATCATCTTCGCTAATCTTAGTGAAGAAAAGATCTCTATCAATTAAAAGAATCGATCAGTTTGGATTTCTAAAGGATAAAGCAAAAGGATTTCTGTATTCGGATTTTATAACTCTATTCTACAGGTTTGGCTTCTCTTCTTGCACAAAGTGGTGAGGCCCAAATCCGGCGATGATGGTTGAAATCTCTAATCCAACATCTGGTATCATTTTCTCTTGGTTGGGAGTAGAATCTCCCTAAATCCTCTTCTCAAATGCCTTTGTTAAGGCAGAGGGTATTAGCCATGAAGTAGTGATGATCGGAGGTGATTTTATGGAAGAGAAGAGTCCATCATTCATTCAGGATCTTCTTAAAAATGTCGGTAGATGGAGTTTTACAAGGTTGGTTTTCAAAGAAGACACCCTCGATTTGCTGGAATTCTGCAACATCACCGTCGGAGTTTAGATCGGTGGTCCGGCGAAGCTATTTTCCGATGATGTGGTGTCGACAACGTTTCATCCATAGCTTTCTTTTAGCCCTCCACGTATGTAACACGTGTTGCGTTATATTTAATAATTATATGTTAGAGATAAATGGGCTTTAGTTGGATTTAAAATGTATAACTGAAGAGCTGTGGGTTAGGTTTCGAAAACTCTTGTAAGTTGCCCTTGTTGGGCTTTCATTAAATGAAAAGACGACCAAAAAAAAAATTTAATATGAATAAATATAAAAAATAAAAATTTATATTATAAATATAATATATTGTATATAAATAAATATATTAAATATTTTTAAAAAAATATATACAAAATATATACAATTACTCACAGCTCTATTAATCACTTAAAATATATA